CCCACTAATAAAACAATTTAAAAATTCTATAAAAATATCTATTTAAATTTGTTTTACCCAAAAATGCATATATATAAAACCCGCTTCACAATAATTTTCTTTTGCATCCTTTTTAGCTTTAATCTTCCATTCAATAGTAACTTCTCCAGGATTATATTTTGATTTGCGCCTTTTAGTGGTTATACCTTCAGCACAATTGGCCGCAATAGCTAATGGATTATTTTTTAAATGTTGAGGCGGATCATCAAACAAGACAACGTAGGTTTGTTGTTCTTCATCATAAAATCTTCAACCCCATAATGGATTATTCAAGATTTCACTTAATGTTTGATATCCAATAGTGCCTCGGAAAATACATTTGTAAATATTTTTATTGCTATGATGGTGAATATATCCTTTGAAAATATCAAAAAACTGATGCTCAGTACAAGCAAGAGATACTAATTGGCGACCTCCCTTTTTGAACCCATTTGGAAGTTTGCAATGAATTAAATAAACCAGGATATTTTTAAAATTTTTATTATTTGTTTCTGACAAATTATCTAAATTATTTCGCGGAATGTTATATTTTTTCACAATAGTCAAATGCCGTGAAAGTCCGCTTTGCTTCTTGAATATTTTTTGACAAGCGGAATAGGAAAATTCTGATGTAGTTATGAGTGGAATAGTGCTTGACATATTAATATTACCACTACAATAATCTGAAAAGTTAAGCATAACGATAAGAATACTTTTTAAATACTTTATAAATATTATTTTATAAATTTTTAAAAGTTACCATTAGTAATGGTCAACATTGAAATCGCGAGACGCCAGTTACCTTCTGCTACTCAAGCTCATCGGTTTTTGGCTCTGCTCATCGGTTTGACGCGTTTTTTCATATGTTTTTTTTTTATTTTAGGGTGAGTTCGCTAAATTTGATCATTTGATTTTTTTTTTACTAATTGATGTAGTGTAACGTTGATCAAAATTATTATGATTTGGGGTTTAAAATTTGATCCAATTTCGATAATTAGCTGATATGCTTAACCTGTTCCTAGGGATATACGTTACTTATCCTGTTCCCCCTTACGTCACACACTGATTTTATTTGTTTATCGTGCAATAAACTGTATATACACTCTCTTCTCTCTTTTTCTTTCACTTTTTCTTATTTCTATGAAATCGTTTGACAGGTATAAAGGTATGAAGTTATATGATTAATTTAAAATTTTATCAAATTACTAGAGTTTTTATAGTAAAAATTACAGTGCGCGCTTGTTTTTTAACTTTATTAATATAATTACAACAGCTTATCCAAAGTAAACGCGTACTTAAGGGTTAAATAAAGTTGTTCTGCAGATATGGGACTATTAAGTATTTAATTTTATCAAGTTAAATGTGAATATTTGTGAAGTTATATTTAATTTTTTGTTATATTTTATACAGATACTTTGTCGCGTAGTTTAAACATCTTGTCCAAACATAACTAATTTTGAATAAGTATAACTGTTTAATGAATATACGGTAAAAGTATTTAAATATTAATTTTCGTTATGTCTGAGTTAGTATTCATAGAGTTGACCAACATTTTTGTAATAAAATTTAGTAATTTACTGTGTATATACAAGTTTTACTATGAAAATTTTGTGTTTGTTTATTAAAGTTTAATAAAATACAAAATAAAATTATTAAACTGAAAAAACTGAATAAAATATATTAAGTGTTATAAAAAATTTTTTCTTTCTTGTTATATGTGTAATTAAATTTTTTTCGCTCTTGTTTTTTTTTTCGTTCATTTTTTTTCGCGAAATAAAATATTTTCTAAGATAAAGTTACACGAAATTTGTGGCTACAATTTTGAGCCAATCATATTTAAGAAAAAGGGGGAACAGAATAATATCGTATACCCGGGGTACAGGTTAAGGATTCCCTATTATATAATCTGATATACTACTATTCATTATACTCGTCACGTGTTATTTATACTTTTCTAATAAACAACCTACTGCCGAGTAACCCGGCTACCCGACAACCCGACAATCAAATTTCTCAAGTGTTCCGTATATTTTGAAATTTGCTGTAAATGAAATTTTACACTTTTCAGCCAAATCAATTGATAAGTCTTCTACAAATTGGCGGGTCGATTTCTGGGTTTCTTGGGATTAGTTAGTAACTTATATATTGATGTATTCTGCCCTTTTCTAAGGGTTAGCAATCTCTGTTTTGTACACTACATGTACTCTGTTCTTGTCGTAACATCAAAAATAAAATTTAATTAATTTAGAAATGAGCGTTCACTAAAATTACTAAAATTTATCTTTGACTATACAGTTATTAAGATGAAGATTTTATGCATTTATTTACATTAAATATGACTAATAACTTGATATCTGTTATATGGGACTTAGGGTTTAGAATTGGGAGTATATTGGAATATGATGTGATGGGAATCATGGGATGGATTCAGTATAGATGGTAAGTATAATTGAAATTATACCAAGCGTCCATTACTGGCTAACACCTAAGGTTTTAAAAACATGTGATTTCATCAAATTTGATGGGACCTGCGATAATTATACACTAAAACTATATGCAATAATTTTTCAAAAACTCAAATCTGAAAGTATAATGTCATAATATATTATTGATAAGATACTAGCAATTTATGTTTGTGAGATTCTAATCGAGATAAGAAATTTATTCTTGGAATATCAAATAATGTCGATTGTTTCCTATAAAGTTGAAATGTTAAAATTTCTAATTTTTGCCTTTACATAAATAATGATCTGTGATTAAGAAATTTGCATAAATTATTAATATTAAACTATTACACTTACAACAAATTTTTGACCCTGAATTAATTTATATAATCTATTCAAAAAAATTCACCCTTTTTATACAAACTAAAAGTAAGATTATCAAAAGTTTATAAACAATTGCAACTGAATTATTGAGTATTAAGAAAAACTTAAAACATTATTATATTTTTTTAAAATAATTACTTATTACTGAAATTGCTATTTGCATAATATTTCCAGTATTTTAAGTGATCACTTTATATTAAAATTCATAATAAAATTTAGCACTATTTATATAAGCACATGCGGTATTTCAAGAATAATGCTTTATTGTAAATTAGAAGCAGTAAAATAATTTCAAAAAAATCATTATGACTATGATTACGTACGTTTCACTGAAGTCTATTTCCAATGCCATTTCGCCAAAGAGAAGTTTCGCTGAAGGGATTATTTCTTCGAATGGGCGTTTTGTCAAATAAACATTTTGCCAAATCTTTTTCCAAATCGTTCAAAAATATTAGTAATGAAATCTCCTTGTAAAATGGCCATTCAGTAAAATGTCCATTTGGAAAAATGGCATTTCGGCGAAATGGCATTTCATTGAAACATCCCTTCAGCAGAATTGCTTTGGCGAAATGGGTTTTGATGAAACGGACTTCAGTGTCCAGATAATATACTGTATAACTATTTATAAATAACTGTATACATAGTTAATATGACACTTGATGCTTTGTAAAATTTTTAAAACTAGGCAATAAACTACATCAACATTTATTGTCAATTATCAGGATTAAAAGTAGGAGATAAATAAATTTCTACATTTAATACCTCAAGACAACAATATAAAAAGTGATTCCAAAAGCTTTTCTTTTTTATCCATAATACTTGCTCCTGAGTCATCTAAATCAAATTCTTTAGGTTTAAATTAAATACTAATTAGCGATCAAACCAAATAGTTGGTAATCATTTCTCATGCCTTTCAAAAATATCTAAAGCTAATAGTAGTGGTTTCATGACCAATGAAATTTTCCCGACTTTCTCTCAAGAGGAAGTTCTTCTTTAAGATAAGTCTCTTTCTATTACACAATCAAGTTCTTTTAATTTCTCAGCTTCAATTTCATCTTCCCTAGTTATAGATTTACTTTTCCTTTTCTGTCTAAGAGTTCTTCTATTTCTCTATTTGATATGACAAATAGTTTTTCAAATAAGGTTGATAAATAATGCTATTTGACTCACAATTGACTATATGTTCACATGAAACAAAGCCAACCCATTTGAAGATTATTTTTCACTTATAGGTGGTACGGCAATGCCAAAAGTTCCTGTTCCAAGTGATTCTTATTTCAGGTTTTTTTTAAGTTCTTCGAATATTCCTATACCAATACTTGATTCCAACATAACATCTTTCTAATATCCTTAATAATGAACGTGCAATACATTCTAACAACATTAGTAGGAAAATCGCATGTGACATAATGACCATGATCATATACAGTCAACTCTAGTTATAACGAGATCGAAAACTTCTTTCTGAGTTCTTCTGAAATCATCCAATTTGTTTGGAGTAGAACATGACATTTCTAGATAATGAGAAGGGTGAGGTGATCAAGATACGGTATTCACATAAAAGTTGTCACTATTTATAATAATAAATTCAGAAATATATTTTCATATCTCTTAGATTACTAATTGGACAGAAAAACATAAGTAAGAGAAATATCTTCAATATGCAATTGAACAGGAAGTCTTATTAGAAGATGTAAAATTACAAATTCCAAAAAAATGAGAAAACGAGATTGAAGAAGTTGAAGAATCAGATATAGAATTTGGTTCATAGTAGAAAAAGATCAAACTAAATGAAAGTGATAAAGAGGAAAGTGTGATGTCACATGATTCACAGAATCACAGTTTCAGGCTCAATAACGAACTCCTGAACGTTAGTTCAATCCATCAACTTTCATGTCTAAGATAATTACATTTTATTATATTTAGCATATAAAAGCATTTTTTCTTAAATCTTTTATATGCATATACAGGTTACTAATGATATTTTCAAACTTTAGCTAATGGGTTAAAAGTTCGATGAACCAGAACCAATCTGGCTAAAAAAAGTAATAAACTGGCAAAATTTTTTAGTTTCACAAATGGATCTGTCTACCAGATATAAATCGTCATTAAAGTATTTTTTTTTGATATATATAAGAAGTTATTTTTACTTTTTGTTATGCCAAATCCTGACCAATTCTTAACTAATTCTTAGTCCGATCTGGTAAAGAGTAATTAATGCCTCAGATCTAAAAATTACATCAAATGATTCAAATCTTCTAACTGAAGCAGATATATCAGATCTGGTTACCATATTTACATCTGCCTTTAATGTAAACCATCCTACTGAAAGTTTAAAGATACTGGGACCCTCAACTGAGAGGTGTTTACAGGTTCTTACTAAGGTCAGTATTAACCCTATAAAAAATAAATGTCCAGAAAATGTCTACGAAAATGTCTGGAAATTGTCCAGAAAATGTCTATTTTTTACTACAAATTTGATACCTAAAATTTTGACATATCCGGATTTTGTTCAGAATATATCCAGAATTTGTCTAGTATAAAATTTTGGACAAATTCCAGACAGATAAACCTGGACAAATTCCAGTCATAATAAAAATTCAGATAATTTGAACTGGACAAATTCCGGACATGAAAAATTTCTGGACAAATTCTGGACACTACTTCCAAAAAAGGATAAATTAATTTTGTAAAAAAATGCAAAAAGCACAAGACTGACATTCATAACCTTCTTTGTCATACTAATTAAATTTGCTGAGAAGGCAAAAATACTATATATTTATATAAAACTTTAGATTAAAAGCAATTATAATGATGGTCACCTGTTGATCATCTTTTTGTATCAAATTTTATGAAAAAATATTTCAGGTC